CAACAGTTTACATAGGCCTTTGTTTTTATTGTTGGTCATTGTAAAAATTCCAATGACTGGAAAGATCTCATGGGCAAAATCAATTTGCTTTCCCCTCCATGTATTTATTAGTTTATAGCACCTTCCATTTCCCTTTTATTCTTAGAAGCAGAAATGCCTTTCATCATGCTAGGTGTGCCCCTTATTCATGGAAGCCAAGGAAGACGTTCCTTCCTTTCTCCCATAGCTCTGTGATTGGAAATTTGGTAACTATACTAAATTTTAAGTTTTGGCACTCGTGTGGAGCAGCCATCCGTCTGCTGGCTAGACACACTGCCCGGGGCTTTTCAAGAAATCCCTTAATAGTCCTGAACACTAATAATATTTATATACATTGAGATGAGGCAAAATTTACAGCGGGCTTCTGGGGCTGGCTCCAGGACTGTCTAATCCTGAACTTCCTCGGGCTCTCCTGCCCGCCTCCCAGAGCCCTCATGGATCGTACCGCAGCCAGGGGAACTCTGGCTTCCACCCCTGAGTTTATCCTCCAGCAGATGGCCCCCCCCCTTTCTCCCCACATCATACCCTGTTTTTATTCCCCCAAAGTATCTGATACGTGTTTGTGCACAGTGGTGTCATGTAAAGTGAAAGATTTGTGGTCGTGATTTGTGATCCCTTTAAGAGGAATTGTCCTGTCTAGGAACAGGATTTTCCCTAATTTAAGCTTTTACCGAAATTCCTTCTGAGGCAGCTCCCATTGCTGAAACAAAATGCTGCCTCCCTAGCCCGTGTGCTGCTGTGGCAGGAATTGACTAACGGTGCACCCCTGGAAGGGGCGTGTGCTGCAGTGGACCACTGCCCAGAGATGCCATTTCCAGTGGAATAGGGAGCACAGTGCAAAACATCATCCACAGATGCTTGGTCAGGTTTTCTTTCTCTTTCTCTTACTGGAAATGCCCAACATTTGTGTTTGAGTCTAAGCGTACACAGGGTATTTTTGTATGCTTTCAAATGCTTTTAGTCTTTAGCACTACATTAATACCTATTTGATATTGATGTCTACTACTCATCATTTTATTGATAATGTAACATTTTATTTAAATTGTAAGCAAGGAAAAAAGGGTTTTACAAGTAGATATTGTTCCTAGTTAGTCTCTGATAAGGAGCATAATATTCTTAGCCACTGTTCGTTCCTGCAAACACAAGCCTGGTGGTGGCTGATGGCCAGTGAGCAGCCCTGGGGCCTTCCGCGCTCTGAACGGGAATGTATGCTCAATAGGGCAGGTCTGTGCTATGACAAATGAGCACGGTTTCCACAGTTAGTTTCATTTTTAACTCTGTGAACCTCACAGATCTGTTGTATTATGTGAACTCTGTAGGGATGGTGGAACATTTCTTCTCTGGCTGGATCCCGCTTCTTCTAGCATAGCCCCCTCTGGTCATCATACCCTCTGTGCTGCTGCCGGATGACCTCTTTCTACCATGAAAATCAGACCATCGTGTTCTCCTGCCCGAAACCTTCAGTGATGCCCACTGTCCGCCACTGAGCCAAAATGCCTTGGACAGGCTTCTGAGGCCTCTCTGAGCTGCTCTCCTCTTCTCTCCCAGCATCACCTGTTACTGGATCCCTGCCATCTACACGAGCACCCACTTCTCTCATCGCAGCAACTCAATTGCTTTTACACGTGATTTCATCTGTGTCATCCTTATTTCTCCTCAGCTTTTAGCTTTCATTTCCAGCCTCAAACCTTTGTGAAGCCTTCCTGGGCACCCAGATGCCCAGGGCAGGCTGTGTACCACCACTTGACTCCTGTGCTTACCTGGTATATTATCCACCCCTTAAGAACAGGGTCTGGCACACAGCTACAGCACACACTCAATAAATAGTTGCTAGGTGGATGATTCGATGAAGGATAGGTAGACTTCTTTTCCCTTGTTTTTAGTTTAAAAACCTGAACTTAGGATTTGCAAAGTTATTCCTTCTTTAGATCTTGGGCCTTGAAGTTACCTCTGTGATGGATATTTTGAACTTAAATAGTCATTTAATCTGTGATTACTAGATCAAGTGTGATATCTGAGAGTCCAGTGTGTGTCATGCATGTGTGCATTTACTGCAGATACAAGTTGGTGGTATCAGCTTCAAGATGCTGCCTTCCATAGACACAGCATTTTAGGAACTCCTACAATAACATGCTTTTTTGATGTGACTCCTTGTAATTGATTGGGTAGATTAGCTTTTGGAAACAGCCAGAAATCATTGAGAGGCAATTCTAGTAAACAACAATGACATAAACCAACAGTCACAGTCTTCTTCTTTGCTTATACGTGGCTCTAAAGGCACTTCTCAGTTGGGATTTGTTCAGCTGCATCTAACAAATAGCAGGCACTTAAACAAGACACAAGTTTATTTCTTATTCATGTAGAGAAATCTAGAGGTAAGCAGTCCAGGGTCAGCCTACTGGTTGCACAGTCATGAAGGACCAAGTTCCTTTGATCTTGCTGCATTGTTCTTAATGGGTCACCTTGTGACTCATTGAAAAGACCCTGATGCTGGGAGGGATTGGGGGCAGGAGGAGAAGGGGACGACAGAGGTTGAGATGGCTGGATGGCATCACCGACTCAATGGGCATGAGTTTGAGTAAACTCCGGGAGTTTGTGATGGACAGGGAGGCCTGGCGTGCTGCAATTCATGGGGTCACAAAGAGTCGGACACAACTGAACGATTGAACTGAACTGAACTGAACTGTGGCCTAGTATGGCTGCTTGAGCTTCAGGCATTATACCTGTATCTTAGCCAGCAAGGATGACAGGCATACCCCCTTTGTTTGAAGCACTTTTCTGGGAACTTCCACCCCAAACATTTGCTACTAGCAAGTGAGTAAACTCGGAGAAGGCAATGGCAGCCCACTCCAGCACTCTTGCCTGGAACATCCCATGGACGGAGGAGCCTGGTAGGCTGCAGTCCATGGTGTCGCTAGGAGTTGGACATGACTGAGCGACTTCACTTTCATGCATTGGAGTAGGAACTGGCGACCCACTCCAGTATTCTTGCCTGGAGAATCCCAGGGACGTGGGAACCTGGTGGGCTGTCGTCTATGGGGTCGCACAGAGTCGGACACGACTGATGCGACTTAGCAGCAGCAGCAGCAGCGAGTAAACTAAAAGTTTACTCACTAGGTAGAACCTAGGTTGCTTTTAGCTATAGGAGCGGCTGGGAGATGTAATAGCTAGATAGGTGGCAAAATGCCTAATTAAAAATCAAGGTTCTATTACCAAAATAGATAAGAATGAATAATGGAAGGTCACCTATTTGTCTCAGTCAAAAGACGATGATCAGAGGAGAAACCTGCAAAAAGTTTTTTTAAGCCTGACAGTATCATGAGAATTTGTTTCTTTCGAGGTGACAGTATTCATTTGAATGTCCAAGTTCTGACAGCTGTTTTTAAATGCACTTTTTGGCAATAAAATAGGTACTCCTGCATGTAGCTACCAGATGTGTAGATTGGTATCAACTTCCCAGAGGACAGTTCAACCCGGGAAGGCTAACTCTGGAAATTGATTCTGTTGAAATAATTAAGAATTTTCATGAAGATTGACTGCTCATTGTCCTAATAAATTGTTGGGAATAAATGAAATGTCTAATAGCAGGAAACTGATTACAACTTATGATGTATTATACTAGGGATGCGATACAGCTGTTAAATTATTGTCGAATTCACAGTATGTTATGCCAGAAAATGCTTTCAGAATGACTTGATCCTTTTTTATAGATGTTTACATTTGTATGTGCATGCACATGCACAGCAAATGATCTGGTGGGGGAGTGTTCTTGGAAGTACTGATAAAGTGCCATTGTGGACAGGCAGACTAGGTGTTCAATGTAGTTTTTAATCTGATTTCTGAGTTTTTCATCTTTTTTATTACAAAGAAAAACAATAATAGAATCTTCACTAAATAATGCATGTCAGAGTCAATAATCTACATATTTAAATAATTTTGTGTTTTCCAACTCATGGAAAAAGTAGGAAGCAGATAATACAAACCAGATTTCCTATTTTGTTGACTTATACTTTATTTGCTAAATAAGGCTAACGGAGAGTTAGTAAGGCACCTTTGCTAGAAAGGCACACTGCTCTAAGGCCCCTAGAGTGTGATCCTTATGGCATTGTTATAGAAATAAATGCCAGCTCATCTGTTTGGGACAAGAATTGTGGCTCTCTGGCTTTTTTAGATATTCCTTTCACTTGTCTTTAACATAGACGGGCTCACGGGAGATGGTTTGTAATGATATCTTATGGTCCTCTGGGCTGGAGACACTGCCCACCCATCCGCTCTTACATGTGAGAAAAACCATGAGACAGGGGTCTTCTCTGTGATATATTAGGATGTGGTACATGAATAGGTTAATATCATTGTTTATCTGGGGTGAGACCTTTGGTATGATACAAGCAGACACAAACTTTCTAAAGCTGATTTGTCAACTGAATAGTATCATCTTTAGCACATTCTAGTTTTAATCATTTTAAAAGTAAATGAGCATTAATCATTTTAAAAGTAAATGAGCATTTCTGCACACTATTTAAAGATATTTACAGATATCAGAAATAGTTAAAAGATATTTCAGTAAGGAACACATGCAAAATGCAGATTAAGTAGCGCATATAAGCCTTCTAAAGTAATAATAAACTGTGGTCCACATAGTGCTTCCAGGGTTTCACCCATAACACAGGTAACCTTCCAAGATGGGGGTTACTACCCCGTTTTGTAGGTGAGAAAAGAGAGGATCAAGGTCAGAGATCCTTAAGCACTCCTCCAAGACCAAACGGAGTCAACTAGGAGAGGCTGGATGTTAAACCCTGCTCACCTGACTCGAAGTGCAGAGTGCTTGCTCCCTGCCCCAGCGAAATTCTCAACATGTAACACTGGGGATTCAAGCTTCGGCCCCGCAGTGGCTGGTGGCTGGGGGGTGCCGGGTGGGGGCCCCGGCGCCCAGCGGTCTCACGCCCTACCTGTCCCCACAGTGTGCCCCAGCGCGTGCGGGAAGCGGGCGTGCACGGAGACCCACGAGTGCTGCCACCCCGAGTGCCTGGGCAGCTGCAGCGCGCCCGACAACGCCACGGCCTGCGTGGCCTGCCGCCACTATTACTACGCCGGCGTCTGCGTGCCCAGCTGCCCGCCCAACACCTACCGCTTCGAGGGCTGGCGCTGCGTGGACCGCGACTTCTGCGCCAACATCCCCAACGCCGAGAGCAGCGACTCGGAGGGCTTCGTCATCCACGACGGCGAGTGCATGCAGGAGTGCCCTTCGGGCTTCATCCGCAACGGGAGCCAGAGGTCAGTGTGGGCGCGGGAAGGCGCGGCCTGGCTCCATCTGGGCGCGGCCCTGGGGAGGCTAAGGGAGTCGGGGCACTGCGGAGCGCCGGCGTGGCTCCAGCTGCTGATGGCGCCAGGCGCAATGGGCAGGTCTTCTGGTTTGGAAGCGGCCCGCCTGGACGGTTGGAATGGAGTACCTGATTTGCTGGCTCAGGTCCCAGGAGGTCCCTGACTCCCTGTGCGCATGCGGGGCTCTCCCCCAGAGCCGGTGGGTAGCGGGAGACTGTAGACTGAGGTTTTCACACCTCCAGGGCTGCTGAGCACTAGACCAGTGAAGGCTTTGGAAGTATGGGAGGGAAGATGGAGCAACCCCAGCAGCATCCGTGAGGCAGTGAGCAGGCGTAGGCTCTTAGCACTGGCTTCTGTCCTCCACTCCGAGCAAGCAGTGTGTTCCGTCCCATTGCTACGCACACAGCCTTCACCATCCCTCAGTTTTCCCTGTGTCTCATTTTCCTTCCTGGACATGAAGCTTTGGAAGCAAAGAAGTTCCTGACAGCAAACAGCATCCCTCTCGTGCATGCAGCTGGACTTCTGTGAAGCTGTTATTGGTTTTCAGTTTTTGAAAAAGCAATTCTTACAAAATATAGGATTATAACCCTGCAAGCAAGGTAAGGCTTGAGACCTGGGGTTGCTGGTCCCGCCTCTGGAGCAGAGCAGAGAACTCTCAAGGAGTCCTTCTGATGGAATGGACTAAAAATGCCTGCTTCGTGACTACACCAGAGGAGCCTTCCATTTCAGGTTTTTAAAAAATAAAGCTATTTTACAAATATACAGTACCGCTGGAAAAGGAAATCTTCATTTTGAGTGTAATGTGTAATTTCCCTTCTGTTTGCTGCCTTGTTTCTGCAAACCTCATCAAGCAAGTCTTGGTAAAGGGGCATCTGTTTCCGGTGTAATATTTGGAGATGTTGCTGCTTCCATAGGCTTAACTTCAAATCAGAGATAACGCTCACGTTATTTCATAGTATTAAATGTAGAACACTCTACCTGTCATCATTTCTGTAATGACTGTAATAGTAAAAATTACTCTAAATACTTTAAAATGGTAAATGTGCCAAGGATACTGGTGAATTGTGGAGTATACATATTCCACCCAAAATAAATCTGCCACATTTTGCTCACATTTTATTGGCAGCCCTAGAACTTAAAAAGGCTTTGCCAGGCCCTGGGCAGTGCCTGGAACCCAGTTTAGGCTCCACCACAGTTCCTGCCCAGACTCACAGGACTCGGACACGACTTTAGCCACAAAATCGCCACCGACACAGTTCCTCCCCGGGCTGGGGGCTGAGATGGGGCAGCTGATGCATGGCCAGGGGGCTCGTGGCTTCTTTGCCCTGCCCATGTGTTCCTTTTGATGCTGGAGGTATTCCGTCGTTTGCAGCTGCCAGAGTCGTGGGTGAAGTAGGGGGCGCTGTGCCCTGTGACAGCTTCTTCTACTGGAATTCATCCTTTGAAGAATCAAGCTCTTATTTTTCCTACTCATGCTCACAGTCACTTCAAAGCTACAGATACTGCCTTTTTCACTTTAAAAGAAAACACCATCAAGAACTAATAACAACCCCCTCCTCAGGCTTTAAGGCCTCTTTGACACTTATTTAAAATACTTATTTTTAATACTGTTTATACCCTCTCAGTAGCAGAATGGGTTTGAGGAAGCTTAAACTATAAACATGCAATCAGAGCACTTCCTTAGAAAAACATTTTTTAAAGTACTAGCTGATTCCTAGACATTTTAAGAAAGGTGTTTGGCTCAGAAATTGCTATTTGAATAAAATGTCAGGGGAAGAAAACATACATTTAACCTACAGCCCAGAAGTTATCCCCCTGAGCATTTACTCCAGAGAGATGAAGACTTGAGTTCCCGCAAAGACATGTGCACAGCCGTCGGTAGCAGCTGTAAGAGCCACAGCCTGGAAATAGCACAGATGCTCCACAATAGGTAAATGGCCAAGCAAACCGTGATCCAGCACACCTTGGAATATCAGTCAGCAATAAAAAGAAACAAACTATTCAGACGCACACAACATGGATGGATCTCAAGGACATTATGCTGTGTAAAAAAAAAACAGACCAGTCACAAGGTCACACACCTGATGATTGCATTTATATAAGATTCTGAAAATAACACCATTACCGAGGTGGAGAATAGGGGAGTGGCGGCCCCGAGTTAGAGACATGGGTGCAGGCTGACGGAACGGGCAGCACACGGGAGATGCTGGTGGGGGCGGGCCGGCTCGCTGCGGTGATCACTCAGGTGATGAGGGGACGTGGAAGTACACGCGGGCATCGAGTCTGTGTCAGTTTCCTGGGCTGGGTGCTGCATCATCGTGTTGTAGGATGGTGCCATCAGAGGGAACTGGGTGAAGGGTACACAGAACCTGTCTGTACTATTTTTGTAATTTTCTGTGTGTCTGTAATTATTTCACACCAAGTTTTTAAAAAGGGGGGTGGGGTATTAGATGGTATGTAGGTAAGGTAGAAGCAATAAAAGATCAACAAGGAATGCTGAGGAAAAGCTGCTGCAGTCTCTAGAAGTGAAAGTGTTGTGATATCAGAGAAAGGGGAAACCTCTGTCACTATGGTCTGCCCATTTCCTCTGGAAACCTTCCCTCCTGTTCTCCCAACGTGAAATAAGAAAACAGTAGGGAAATTGTATTTGTCTATAAGCTTTTAAACAAAGCCCTTCATCTTTGCCTTAGATATGCAGTAAAGTTCAGTGATGGAGGGCGGTACTTAATGCTTAGAGCTTTAACTTACACTGCTTTCCTGGATGTTTCTCACTTATCTTCATGAAATTTGAAAGATCATTCAAGAATAATCATGTAAATATAGTGGCTCTCCAGTTCACCATCGTATTACACACGCATCCCATAATGTTGTATCATTTATTTAGTTTGGAAATTGACCCAGCTTTCTGTGGTTCAGAGAGTTGGAGTCGTGTTTTGTCCGCTATTCCCTAAATAAGGAAAAGTACCAAGGTCACTCGCTAGTCCCTGGCTGTTGCTGGGTTTGTGGCATGTTCAAGATTGCGTGTGAAATAGGAGCTCATTACAAAGCAGTGGAAGTTCCTGTTTTTATTGTGTATGCAGCAAAAACAACATTTGGATCAATTTACAAGTTTCTGCCAAACGCTGTCAAGAAATTATTTCAGTTGTGCTTTAGCAAGAAAATAATGGATCTGTGCTATGGCACGTGCCTTTTGGAATCCCCCCCTCCCCGCCCCGGGCTGCCGGCTGCAGGAGTTAGCTTCCGGTCAGCAGCGGGGACACTGCTGTCCCTTCGGCGTCCCCGTCCACTCTCCCAGTGGCTCCTCCGGGTACGCCAGCGGGGCCCATGACCTCAGAGAGCAGCTCTGTTCTCCTTGGGATCCCCTGGTGTCTCCCTTGTGCAAGGCTGTTTCTCGCACATGGGACCAGCTGGCTCACCAGCCCCAGCCTATGACACACACATGCCTCAAGGGTGTCTCATGTGTTTTGTCTGGAAATAGGCAGCACGCTTTTCCTTTGTAGTCAGTTTCTCCTTTGCATTGCCGTTTGAGTGGCTTACCCTGGGCAGGCTTGGGAATGAGAAACAGTATGACCGCTCGAATGCTTCTGCCAGTTGCTTTCTGTAATGTGGACAGTAAAGACACCTGGATTAAAAGCACATCTTTTGAGAATTTTTCTAATGCAGGAAGACAGACTCAGCTCTCAGTGTGTTGGGTGGTTTTATTTTCAACAGCATGTACTGCATCCCTTGCGAAGGCCCTTGTCCCAAAGTGTGTGAGGAAGAAAAGAAGACGAAGACCATTGATTCTGTCACTTCTGCTCAGATGCTCCAAGGATGCACCATCTTCAAAGGCAATCTGCTCATCAACATCCGACGCGGCAGTGAGTATTCCCTCTTCCTGGAAGAGAGGGCCAGACCTCCTGGTTTTCTTTTGTTGAGCTTTCCCTTCTCGTCCGTGAGTCACAACTAAACTATGGGCCTAGAAAAACAACATGGTGCATAAGCCACGTGCTCAGTGCCCCTGCGATTAAAAAAAGAGAGAGTGAGAGATTGAAAGGCAGGTGGCATTTTAGCCATGGGCACAGCGTTTATTTCTGCACAGGGTCAGCCCTCATCTCTCTTAAGTCACATCTTATGCAGGATATGCATGTCTCAACACATCCAAACCCCAGGAGAGACGGATGGATCAGAGGTGTGACTCAGCAGACTCCAGCCAGAGCCAAGGCCTCAGAGCTTTAAGTCCAGAGAGTCTTGGTTACTTGGATATGTGGAAGAGACTGAGCAAGGGAGGGGTTTAATGATATCAGTTTAAAGTTTTATTCAGTCCAAAACTGGCCCATCTCCCAAGTTTACTTCTGAGAACCAAGAGAGATACAAGGATATGTATGTCAGCATGCATTTGAAGCTTCAGTCTCCCCACCCTCTGTAGGATTCCCCACTATTTGCAGTAGATGGTGTTCTGGACAATTGCATGTGTGAAGCATTTCCAGTGGACTTATTTGGTGATATTTTCAGTTCTGATCTGTAATTGACAAAGGTTTCTAGTAATGGTGCCTTAAATTCTCTGCCACTGGAACCACTTAATGAAGGTACTGATAGTTTCCTAAGCTAGAAGAAATATAGTAAGAAGGTGTTGAGGTTGAAAGGGACTTTTTTCCTAAATTCTTAAAAAAAAAATTATATGGTTTGAAGGGCTTCCCTGGTGGCTCAGATGGTAAAGAATCTGCCTGCAATGCGGGAGACCTGGGTTCCATCCCTGGGTGGGGAAGATCCCCTGGAGAAGGGCATGGCAACCCGCTCCAGTATTCTGGCCTGGAGAATCCCATGGACAGAAGAGCCTGGTGGGATCCAGTCCATGGGGTCACCCAGAGTCAGACGCGACTGAGCGGCTCAGCACTGCACACAGCATTCTGTGCATTTACTTTCCCTTAATATTGGTACTGTTTGTGCAGTGAGTGAGTGCTAGTCTTAGGATTTAGAGATGACAGCATCAAGATTTCTGCTTAGTTTTTTTGAATTTTGGATAGCCCTTGATTTTCACAACACCTTTCACCCCTTCACAACAGAGATAACTTTATTTCCACACAGCTAGAATTTTATGACTTTCATGGTATTCTGAAGTTTCAGTCTTTGTGCTCTTACTAGATTTCCTAATTTCTCAAATAGAGTTCCTCATTTCCTAGAACGTACCCTTTAAGTGCCTAAGAGTGTTAGTCGCTCAGTTTTGTCCAAGTCTTTGTGACCCCATGGACCATAGCTCACCAGCTCTTCAGTCTGTTGAATTCTCCAGGCAAAAATACTGGAGTGGGTTGCCATTCCCTTCTCCAGGGTATCTTCCCAATCCAGGGATCCAACCAAGGTCTCCTGCATTGCAGGCAGATTCTTTACTGTCTGAGCCACCAAGAAAGCCTTAAGTGCCTAACCCTTCTTTTATTTTGATATTTCTGTCCTCAGAATAGGAGAAGGAAATGACAACCCACTCCAAGATTCTTGCCTGGGAAATCCCATGGGCAGAGTAACCTAGTGAGCTAGATAGAGTCCATGGGGTCGCAAAGTCGTGACTGAATGAGCATGCACACGTGCATCCTCAAAATATTTTTTAAAAACTTTGATCCATGAATCAGGAAGTATAGTTTACTAAATAGTTTGAGGAGGAACTGGTACATATCGGTGTGTGATCATGCAGTGTGGCTTCCAGTTCATGTCCACCGCAGGAGATTGGTTGGACATCTTATTGGAAAGGCCCCTCCTCAGCCTTGACCGAAAAGTCGTGAGTCCCGCCACATGTTTAATTCAGAATCTTTTCCCTGAAACATTAACTGGAGGCAACCGCTAGTCTTTACAACTTGAATTTCTCCATTTCTCTTGGAAAACCGTCACACTGTACAGAAACATAGGGCCTTGCCTATGTACCTGTATTCTTTGATGTTCATCAGTTGAAAGCAAAACAGAACCTTTTATTAACTATGCCTTCACAGGTCATACACAGTACAATTCCATTGGTTGAATCACATCCAGTTCATTATAGTATGCCTTGTAATTTTGGCATAAGTTGAACTGAAGTTTATGCTTTTTAATTACTATGAGAAAAAGGCTGTAAGAGTGAAGAAAATACATTGTTCATACATCTTGTCATTTTTGCACATGTGTTAGCAATGATGTTCCCAACTGTTTTCCACCTGTGAGAATCATATATGTGCATTAGAAAATTGACGCATAGAAGTTAATTATTGAAAATTACCTGCCAATAACCATTGTTAATATTTTGGTGCATTTTCTTGCAGTCTTAGTATGATGGAGTCTTTAAATATAGATCACTGTATCTTAGGAACTAGGAATGCAGCAGAAGCAGTTCCTAGTGAGACGGAGAAAACATTGTTTGTTTAGTCATGCCCTTCTACTGTGGAGGCAGTGCTGTTGACAGAGCATATTAGAGATGTTCCCTGGATGTGTCCGCCTCAACTAATTGGCAGTCTGGTGTTTACGATTTTACATTCTGTTAATCAGCCTGGGAGCTGCAGTCCTCAGCCTTCTAGAAACTGCCCTCCCCCTGCCTCGGGGGCCCATCCCAGGCAACGGGAGTTGAAAGCCACGCTTAGGGAAAAGCGTTTTTGACAAAGGGCAGGGATCCTGGGAGGCCTCGCGTCTCAGGGGCGCCAGGGAAACAAGACCTGAGCTGAAATGCTGTCCACACGGGTCTGCGAGAAACCATGTGTGTCCCCCTTGTGTCAAGGCGCGCACTAACCCTGTCCCCCTACCACAGACAACATCGCTTCGGAGCTGGAGAACTTCATGGGGCTCATCGAGGTGGTGACGGGCTACGTGAAGATCCGCCACTCCCACGCCTTGGTCTCCTTGTCCTTCCTGAAGAACCTGCGCCAGATTCTAGGAGAGGAGCAGCTCGAGGGGTAAGAGCTCCGCTTGCAGCCGCTGACGCTCTCCCGCCGCCCGGCTCCGCACTCTGCCTTTCAGGTTTTCTCGTTAAAAAGAAGCTGCAGTGCCCGCGCCGCCTCCTAGCGGGGAGTCTCCTGCAGTCAGGATTCTCCATCCTCGCTCCTGGGTCGTGACCCATCGGGGTCGGGTATCTGCCTGTGGCCAGCAAAGCTGCAGACAGGGACGTGGCCGGGACCAAAAGTGCAGAGAGCGGGCTGAACAGCTCGCCTCGTCCCGGGCCCCTTGTCTCCCTCGGGATGCTGTGATCCACTACGTAAAAGCTATTCCATCTTTTCAGATGTGTTGGAACGCCAGAGATTTGGAGGCGTCTGAACAGTTCATTTTGTTACAAAGAAATCTTGATTCACAGAATTGTTTCTATTGATCAGCCCATAGGATTTGCCCTACTGATGGAATGTTTGCCTTCTGCAGAGATGCGCTTTGTGATAAGGGTTTTAGCCTCGCCAGAGGCCATTCGCCGCTTGAGGAATGAAAGTGGGTGCTTCCATTGCTGCGCACACAAGGGCAGCTTCCCGCCGCATTCACCCCGGGTGTTCCTGTGTACATGCGCTTCTCTTCACACGCGCCCCATTAAATATAATTCTTGCCTGCTTTAAGCTAATGCTTCGAAATAAAAGGAGACATCCATTAATGAGTTGACTCCTTCTAAAGAGAATTTGGGGAAATAATTTAGGAAAGCAAGAGATGGGAAGGTCATGAGAAAGGTTGTCTTTGCTGATTTATGTGCCCCGATGGATAAAGTTACCACATAAGGGTTTCCTTACAGCCTTCCTGCTTTTCTCAGACTCACTCTTGGTCAGTCTTAAATTCTTAAAATTCCACCATCTGATACAGCCAAAGAGAGGGGGGCAGCACTTCATTCCATCCTTGAAAAGCACAGTGTCCTCCCCGCTGGGAACCCTGATTCTTTAGAAAAATGTCCTCCTGGTGAATCCACCAAGGCTGCCGCTGTGCTCAGCCCAATGTCCCAGGTCACCAACATAGCAAGCCAAGGCTCTTCCAGTTTGAGGTGATGGTAGTTGTTGGTTGTAGTAAATTTTAAAATGAATTTTAGGACAGCTATTTTTCCTTTTCCTCGAAGTAGGTTTTTCTGGAAACTCTGGTGATGGTAAGCACCTCTTCTTTAGCGTATTGGTACATGCAGGTTTTCCTTCTGCTTGAGGATACACTTTTCCCCCCGCCCAGGTTGAGCAAGTGATACATATAGAGGGGAGAGCTACCAGGAGAGTTTAATTAATTTTTATTAGGAATTATTACATAACGTGATTACCTATCAAGTGGTGTGTTAACTGAAAGTATTATGCACTCAAGTGTAGCTGAAAATTAAAGTGTGATTTTTATTTGCAAATATATTTATGATGTATTTCTTATTACCTGAAGCTTGTGTAATGCCCAAAGCCCCAGTGGGGTCTTCTTATAGATGCATGTCGTCTCTTAGGTGTTTGGGCCACTTCCAGGCTCAGCGAAGCTTCAGGCCTCCCCTGTTCTTAGTACTTCATTTGTCAGGGGATGGCAGTGGTGAGGATGGCAGTGGTGAGCCTGCTGATCGGCTACCAGTAGCTTCCAGTAGCCCTGGTAACCCTGAGGAGGCTGAGCTTCTAGCCTTGGATTTCTTCCTGCCATTGCTGAGAGGCTTTCTCTTTAGCTGGAGCACTTGAGAACCTAGCCTCTTTGCCCGAGAACTGTGTTCCTTTGACTGCCTTCCTCACCCATGACCAAAATGGTCTGGGTCTAACCTTGCTTGTGATAAGTGCCCGTGCAGCTGGCTTTGGGTCAGGTGTGACCAGTGGCGACTCAATTCTGTATTTCTCCTCCTCAGGCTTAGGAAGGAGGTTAGGTCCAGCCCCTTCACCTGCTCCCCTCACCCTTATAAGAAGAGTCACACAGATACAGAGAACAAATGAGTGGTTACCAGCAGAGGAGGAAGAGGGGGTGGGGACTATAGGGATAGGAGAGTAGGGGGTACAAACTATTATGTATAAAATAAGCTACAGGGATAAAATGTACAACACGGGGAACATAGCTGATGTTTTATAGTAACTACAAATGGAATATAACCTTTAAAAGTTGTGGGGACTTCCATTGGTCCAGTGGTTAGGAATACAGGGCATACCTTGCAATACAGGGGATGCAGTTTCGATCCCTGGTCACGGAATTAAGATCCCACAAGCCACGTGGTATGGCCAAAAAAAAAGTGAACTGTAAAAACTATGAATTAGTATATGTACACCTAAAACTATAAAGAATGCAAAATGAGCTTTAAAAAGAGCCAATCTTCCACTCAAACCTTAAAAAAGAAAGAGAAAGGGGGTTCAAAGGAAGCAGAAAAGAAAGGAAGATGCTAAGTAGATAAATGCCAGCAGTGCTGAGTGAAGTTTGCAGAGTGCCACAGGGAAAGAAAAGGCACATGCCATGGGCATGAAAAAGAGTCAGATATCTGATTAAGAAAGATCACACGGGCTTCTGAGAAGAGCTGGCTTTGGAGATGGGCCTTGGAGGGTTTCTGGAAATGCTCAGCGAGCAGAGGGTGAAGAAAGGCGTTTCAGGACAGGACGGCAGCAGCAGAGGCAACGAGCTGGGGCGTCCTGGGACCTGTTTGGCAAAAAATGCTGGAGAGGTAGGTGGTATTAGGATTACGTAAGCTGTTATGCACCCAGGTGTGGAGGTTATAATTTGGATAGGCAGTGGAACCTCTTCAGGACGTTTGAGTTACCAGAGTGTTAGTAGAACCTTTCACTTCCAAGTGCTTTTGCTATAAGCCAAGATGACTTTTGCCCCAGGGGTTCCCACACTTTGCTCTATACATAAGAGTCATCCGGGGGTCTTTTAGGAATCCTGATGCCCAAGTTGCACTCCATCCCAATTCAGTCAGAACGTTTAGGGGTGGGATCCGAGCATCGGTACTTTTCTAAAGATTGCCAGGTAATTTCAGTGTGTGGCCAAATTGGAAACCACTGTTTTACCCCTTTATTTCTTCTTCTTCATAAGCATGTCCCCGAAACACTTTGATTTTTTGCCTAGGTATTTTCTTGTCACACTGCTGTCTTAAAGTATGATTTTTCTTATACCTCTCATGACCAAATAAGTGCTTCCACTTGGTCCAGTGGGAAGAAAGTTTTATAGCTTTTTGTTTTGATGCTGAACAGACAAATTGGTAGCACATAAATCCTTTTTATGTGTCACCCTTTGCTTTCCAAATTGGAACGGAGACCAGTCCCCAAATGTCTCCTGAATAGCCCAGACTGCAAAGTCAAGTCCAGAATATGAAATTCAAGAACGTTACCTGGGGTAGACCTCTTAGTCCTCACTCTGAGTGAGCTGATTCTAGAATCTGACGTCCAGGACCATGATGGACACAGGGCAAAATCAAGTGGGAACAGGCAGCAGGGCTGCTTGGCTCCGGAGAAAGGGACCAGACAACATAGGTGATCTAAAGGTAAGCCAGCAAAATTCAGATGGCCAGCACTTCCTTGAGGACATCGCTCTGTGTAAGGTGATGTGTTTCTGGAGTAGTAACCTTAGACATTAAGACCAAAGTTCTGCTATTTTGGAAGGAAGTGGATTTTGGAATACACACATACAAGATTTCTATGAAATGGCTAATTTGTAAGCCCTTGAAAAAGAAGATATTTCTGTTATCTGAAAAAATTCCCTGATTCTGAACAACCCTGTTTTGTGATAGCATCAGAAAAATGAGTTAAAATTTCAGATTTGTTGGTGCCACCAAGGATAGTTGCTCTGAAAAGAATGAGAGTTAGACGGAGGTGGTGGGTTATAAGGATCGGAGTCTTGGATGCAGTCAGGCGTCTCTGCTCGTGTCTCTACCAATTGGCTGTGCAACACTTTGTGCTTTATTCTATCTTCTTGCAACTCTAAGATTAGGTTGCATCATGGCTATACTTTAACACTTCTTTGGCACTTCCAAAAAATGTACAGTCAGACATGTGACTCAGCAGTTCCAGGATCTACCCCAGTATCTACCCAAGAGAAACGAAAACATGCCCCCACAAGACTCGTACAGGATTGCTCATAGGAGTATTATTCATGAATCCCCCCCCCCCCCCCCCCCCAGTAAATAAAGGCCCCACTGGAAGCAATCCAGATGTCCATCAGCAGAGGAGCAGATAAATAAAACGTGGCACAATGGGTTACTGCCCAACAATAATGTCACAGCATGAGTGAACCTCAAAAACATCAGGTTAAGTGAAAAAAAGCCAGACACGAGAGACTCCACATTGTACGATTCCATTAATGGGTGATTTCTGGAAAAGGCAAAACTGTGGAGACAGAAAACCGCGAAGGGCTGGGGGTGGAATCAGAGGTTGCGCACCACTGGGAATTTAGAGCTTTGGAAGTGCTGAGAGTGAGGAGGGGTGGAGAGGCTCCGACACTGCCTCGTGGGGATGGCTGGACCCCTGTGTGGGTTTGCTGAGCTCCCGGAACTGGAAAAACTTACAGTGAGTAAATTTTCTTGGTAGATAAATTATACCTCAGTAAAGCTGTTTTTAAAACACTCAAAGAGGAAACATTTTGAGTATCTGTTTGGTTCTAGAGACATGTGAATATAAATTCCTACCCTTGCTGAACCCCCAAGGCTGGTGTAAATATTGAACTTCGGGGGGAGATTTGGACGTGGCCGAAAGCAGTCTGTTGCAGACGGATTAGAGGCAGCCTCTGTACAAAGACCAAGCCCTCCATCCACTGCAGAGTGCTGGAGACGGCCTGCATGCGCTGGGTTCTGATGCCCCCTAGGGACCGCAGGGAAGAGGCTGTGGGTTTTTTTCTCTGAGAAATAAAGGGAATGGTGATTGCTTTTTTCCAGTCTGTCAGTGAAGTTTGGAAAGCGGGGAGAGTGTTCCTTCCTACCCCGACCCCCCCCCCCCCCC